TGTGTGTGTGTGTGTTTTTTGGGTTTTTTGTGTTTGTGGGTTTTTTGTGTTTGTGTGTTTGTGTGGTGTGTGTGTGTGGTGTGTGGTGTTTTTTGTGTGTGTGTGTGTTTGTTGTGTGTGTTTGTGTGTTTTGTGTTTGTGTGTGTGTGTGTGTGGTGTGTTTGTGTGTGTGTGTGGTTGGTGTGTGTGTGGGTTTTTTTGTGTGTGTGTGGTGTGTTTTTGTGTGTTTGTGTTGTGTGTGTGTGGGGTGTTTTGTGTGTGGTGTTTTGTGTGTTTTTGGGGTGTGTTGTGTGTTTGTGTGTTTTTGTGTGTGTGTTTGTGTGTTGTGTTTTTGTGTGTGTGTGTGTGTGTGTGTTGTTTGTGGTTTTTGTGTGTGTGTGTGTGTGGTGGTGTGTGGTTTTGTGTGTGTGTGTGTGTGTGTTGTTTGTGTGGGGTGGGTGTTGTGGTTTTTGGGGTGTGTGTGTTTTGTGTGTGTGTTTTGTTTGTGTGTTTGTGTTGTGGGGGTGTGTTTTTTGTGTTTGTGTGTGTGTGTGTGTGTTTTTGTGTGTGTGTGTTGTGTGGGGGTTTTTGTGTGTTTGTTGTGTGTGTGTGGTTGTGTGTGTGTGTGTGTTTGTGTGTGTGTTTGGTGTGTGGTTTTGTGTGGTGGGGTGTTGTGTGTGTGTGTGTGTTTGTGTGGTGTTTGTGTGTGTGTTTTGTGTGTGTGGTGTGTGTGTGTGTGTGTGTGTGTGTGTGTTTGTGTTGTTGTGTGTGTGTGTGTGTGTGTGGTGTGTGTGTGTGTGTGTGTGTGTGTGTGTGTGTGTGTGTGTGTGTGTGTGTGTGTGTGTGTGTTGTGTGTGTGTGTGTGTGTGTGTGGTGTGACCCCTACAGATTAAGCTGTGGGGGAAATTTGGTTCTTAATACACTAATCTTTTGGGGTCAGTAAATAGCGATAACAAATAGACTATATAGATTTGGAATAAATTCTAAGTAGATACAAAATAGATCTTAAATAGATCATAAATTCAAAATACATTGTAAATTTATTGAAATATTCTAAATAAACTCTAAAAGATCCAAAAAATAGCCCTAAAATAGATCCTAAATAGATCAAAAGAGATAAAAAATAGATCCCAATAGTCAAACTTTTTTTCTAAATAGACTGAAAATCATAAAAGGTTTTTAGAATAGATTCTAAAATCTCTAAATAAATCCTAGAGGATCTTATGTTAATCTTAAATAAATCTAACTTTCTAAATCAGTTAGAAATACATTCTAAATATATATTTTTAATATAGCAACACCATAGGGTCTTCAATAGCGTTCCGAATGACGCTAAAATCAACCTTCGTAACAGTATAATATATTTTCCGTAATATATGTGTTTATTTCGGTAACAATAAAAATTTGCAGTGGAGGGACGAGATAAATTCTATAATAATGTATATATACATGTATATATGTCGTGCCGAATAGGTAAAATTGGTCAGTTAGCAAGAACTTATTCAAAATTAAGCACTCTCTAAAATTTTCTCTTATATGTTTAAAGATATATAGTTTTTTTCAATTATGTTAATGTAAAAAATAATAATTTTTACCAAAAGAACCTTAGAAAACTTACCTGACCTTATTATAACAAGCACAATTTAATTTAGCCTAGTCTAAATATATTTTAGTTTACAATAATTTAATAATAAACAAACACAATGAAATATATTTTTATCGTTAGGTTCAGAATGATTTTTGCGAAATTATTGCATCAAAATTTTGGCTTGCCTTTTCGGCAAGAAAAGCGTTGCTATTTAAGCTAAAATCACAAAATTTTAGAAAGGACTTAATTTTAAACGAGTTCTTGTTAATTGACCAGTTTTACATATTCGGCACGACATATATATATATTTTAAAATATAATTTATATATATATATATATATATATATATTATATATTATATATATATATATATATATATAATTAGTGGTTAATTAAGTTTAAAGCCTATCGAGGATCATTAGGGGTATATATACCTGTTCACCATCAGTCAAGTATATTTTATTCCTTAAAATAGGGCTTAAACTGTCTGTGTATATATCCCTGCGAGTAAAATACTTTGTATATACCAACAAAAAGCCATAGAGGGCTCTACAAAAGGCTATATATCGCTAGTAACATGCTATTTAAAAACTAATAGCCTTCCAGGCCATTTTTTTTCCAAATTATTATAGTACTGTTAGAGAAAGCTGCAGAGCTATGTAACAAGTGACATTCCGGGCACTATCAGATAGCTATGTACAAGAAATATACCTGTCAAATGTCTTACGGTAATTTACTGAAAATATACAGTAATATTTATTAAGATAACGTCGATATAGTGGGTATATTTTCTCTGTAGAGTGAGACCATCATCAGTTCGAAAATCTCCAGTATAGCTGGAAATATTTCTTATATTTCTTGGGTTATTATGAGAGATTATCCTGACGCTGTTTACGGCCCAGTGTTTTCCTAGATTTCCTAGATTTCTAATTTCATGTTGTGAAGTCTAGACCGGGTGAGAGAAATGTATAGCTGTAGGAGAAAGACATATATACATACATTTATTGAAGGAAACGTTTCGACACTGGAAACCTCAAAAGGCGAAACATCTAGGTATATGTGTCTGATACTCACAATCTGTAGGTATCTACATACTTGTCCAATGTATTTCGTTATTTTCTAGTTCTGTATAGGAGTTAGTATTTACTAGATGTATATAGGAGTTAGTATCTCTTATTTCTGTACAGGAGTTAGTATCTCCTAGATCTGTATAAGAGTTAGTATCTCTTATTTCCATATAGGAATTAGTATCTCCTAGATCTATATAGGAGTTAGTATCTCTTATTTCCATATAGGAGTTAGTATCTCCTAGATCTATATAGGAGTTAGTATCTCTTATTTCCATATAGGAGTTAGTATCTCCTAGATCTATATAGGAGTTAGTATCTCTTATTTCCATATAGGAGTTAATATCTCCTAGATCTATATAGGAGTTAGTATCTCTTATTTCCATATAGGAGTTAATATCTTCTAGATCTATATAGGAGTTAGTATCTCTTATTTCTATTTTCAGTTAGTATCCTCTAGTTCTGTATGAGAGTTAGTAGGTACCAAGTGTACCTAGCTTGTATATCACGTGTTTCCTATCACCACCTTAAATTTCTTACCTCGCTTAATGGTGTCAAGTCTCGTATATCTTATTTTTATGATGACTGTGTATTGTGTACCTTATTTTATAATGAGTGAGAATTGTCTACTTTATTTCCATGATGATTCTTGTGTGTCTTATTTCTCTATTATGTATGTATCTTATTTCTCCGTTGATGGTGCATCTTATTATTTCTCTGCTGGCTAGATATTTTATCCCTTATTTGATAACTGACTATTGAATAAGCAAATATTTTGCTAACTCAAAGTCAGCGTTGCAAGATTAGAATATATATATATATATATATTAATATATATTATATATATATATATAATATATATATATATATATATATATATATATATATATATATATATATATATATTGTCCTGCTTGCATCTTTGGTTATGCATTTTGAGACAAAATTTCTCATTCAGAATCATATAGTATCGTATATTATGTCTGTGGTAAGTTGTATTAAATATGGCTAAATCTTGTAAGTTGCAAAATAACTAATTTTGATATTGTACAAAATAACTTAAGTCTATTAAAATACACACTAATGATTCATACAACTAGAAATGACCGCGTGTATTTTAAACATTAAAAGATGCCATGACTAGAATACTGAAGAACTATACGTGTATATATATATATATATATATATATATATATATATATATATATTATATATATATATATATATATATATATATATATATATATATATAATCTTATTCATTAACAATACTGAAATATAGTATAAATACCCAGGAAAATATTTCTTCTTAAGACGAGCATTCTTGTTTAAATAAGTGTAAGAGTGTCATTACCATAGCTGGAACAATTTATCAGTAACACACGGATGTTAGAGGAAGTTACCCGTCCATTATCAAGTCACAGCATTGCCAGTTATGGCTTGATAATGGTCTAGGATAGACAGAAATGTTGTCTAGGGTTTCATGTCCGTATTGTGGGTTAGTTGTGAATTGTTCCGGCCACGGAATTGTGACTTTTATCTTTCAGCTTCAGCAGGTCTGGCTAATGTAAATAGGATAATGATGTACAATATCGACAAGTTGATAAGTAAGATTCATGTGCATCAATTAGGTATCTTTATTCCGAAACGTTTCGCCTAAATAGTAGCATTCATCACACTGAAGAAACCTACTGTGTAGGCGAAACGTTTCGGAATAAAGATACCTAACTGTTGCATATGTGTCTTACCTATCAAGTCTAGCTAATACTCTTATAGGTCTCTAGTAACTAGTAACAGAACAATAGGAGACGACCCACAACAATTTACTGATATCCAGGTGCCTATTTACTGTTAGGTGAACAGGAGCAGGCACTGTAGACACAGGCGTTAAAGATAACCTCATCACAGTTTTACGAAATCTGTCATTTCGTGCAAACAGTGTGAGCGAAACGTTGTCGATATAGCTGACTCACGAAATCGTAATGTCCTTACCATATTGTGAGTATTTCATTCGATCATGTGGGTATCTCATACCACCGTGTGGGTGTCTCATACCACCGTGTAGGTGTCTCATACCACCGTGTGGGTGTCTCATAACATCACATACCCAAGCCATAGTCCTATTTCTTTAACATTTATCCGTGTGTTTATGGTCAACTGGAATATCCACGACTTCAATAGGAGATAAATTTATATAATTTGTATTCATAGAATAGCCCTTACATACATCTAGTGTATCTCTTAGGTAGTATCTAGGTAGACTGTCAACATTAGGTAACTTCTAGGTAGTCTGAATATCTGTGAAAAGCAAAAGGTGACTAGAGACACTGTCCTTGAAAAGGATCCTTAGAAAAGTATACGATTAGAATTGTCTCCCCAAAAAAGTTTTTTTTTTTTTCAGTGTCTTCTTTCCCCTAATAAATGAAACAATAGAGTTTCATGATTTCAAAGCAGAAAATACAAATAATTTTTTAAATTAATGTCAGCCACAGCACGGAAAGTGTCAGGGACTTATGTTACCCGTCAAAAAAAAGTGACTGTCAGCTTGTAGACGGAAGTACATGGGAAAAACAGCTAGTGGAGGACATTAGACTCCACACTTGGTAATGTTATTGGAAAGCTTTATAAAAAGTTTGGTGTGAGTGGGTGGTAACTGGCCTACGGCACAGTTACACTGTTCCACTATCTTTTCGGTACTGTATACCATTCATGTACAACTTCTCATGAATAAAAAGGACTTGGTCCTGACAAGTAGCAGGACTACACATCAAGTTTCCAACCGTTCTATTTATTCATAGACAGTCGTTCATTTCGACTTATATTGCGTTTACGTTCGTATGATGCATCTACTAAGCCGTCTTAACCCCTTATGATGGAGCCGTCTTTACCCCTTATGATAGAGCCGTCTTTACCCCTTATGATAGAGCCGTCTTTACCCCTTATGATGGAGCCGTCTTTATCCCTTATGATGGAGCCGTCTTTACCCCTTATGATGGAGGCGGTTGTGTGAATCTTGTGAGTACAATGAAAGGAAAAGAAGGTTATGAATGAGCAGCTGCTCGGTGAAGATGGAAGCAAAGAACCAAGCTGGGAAGTACTCCAGGGTGATCAGTCCCAGAAGATTGTAGTTTCTCTCGGTGTAATCCCACGGACAGGCACCGTACTGCCTCAACACCATACCTGCTGACGAAAATCTTGTTAAGAAATGATTACATGGCTTGTTTTTGAAAAATATTAATGCTTACAGAGTGCAATAACAGTAGTAGTAGTACTAGTAGTAGTAGTAGTAGTAGTAGTAGTAGCAGTAACAACAATAACAACAAAAGTATTAATAATTATTGAATTTGTTGCAGTAGTTTACTATTATTATTATTATTATTATTATTATTATTATTAAATAGTAGTGTAGTAATAGTAGTAACAGAAATTCTGGCAATAAAAATAACATTTATAATTTAAAAAGCTTTCATATAATTTTTTTAATCTAATTATTCCAGTTCAATTAGCTTACCAAATTAGGTCACACAAGCTGTGACTGTCTAGTAACTTTGTTTTATCTATATTTGACCAGTGACGTGTGCGCAACATTTGGGTATCTCTAACTGTGACTATAGACGTAAAAATCTAGGTAACTAACTGTGACTATAGACGTATAAATCTATGGTATCTCTAACTGTGACTATAGACGTAAAAATCTAGGTATCTCTAACTGTGACTATAGACGTAAAAATCTAGGTATCTCTGTGACTATAGACGTAAAAATCTGGGTATCTCTAACTGTGACTATAGACGTAAAAATCTAGGTATCTCTAACTGTGACTATAGACGTAAAAATCTAGGTATCTCTGTGACTATAGACGTAAAAATCTGGGTATCTCTAACTGTGACTATAGACGTAAAAGTCTGGGTATCTCTAACTGTGACTATAGACGTAAAAATCTGGGTATCTCTAACTGTGACTATAGACGTAAAAATCTGGGTATCTCTAGCTGTGACTATAGACGTAAAAATCTGGGTATCTCTAACTGTGACTATAGACGTAAAAATCTAGGTATCTCTGTGACTATAGACGTAAAAATCTAGGTATCTCTAGCTGTGACTATAGACGTAAAAATCTAGGTATCTCTGTGACTATAGACGTAAAAATCTAGGTATCTCTAACTGTGACTATAGACGAAAAAATCTAGGTATATCTAACTGACTATAGACGTAAAAATCTGGGTATCTCTAACTGTGACTAGACATAAAAATCTGAGTATCTCTAGCTGTGACTATAGACGTAAAAATCTGGTATCTCTAGCTGTGACTATAGACGTAAAAATCTGGGTATCTCTAGCTGTGACTACAGACGTAAAAATCTGGGTATCTCTGTGACTATAGACGTAAAAATCTAGGTATCTCTGTGACTATAGACGTAAAAATCTAGGTATCTCTAGCTGTGACTATAGACGTAAAAATCTGGGTATCCGTGACTATAGACGTAAAAATCTGGGTATCTCTGTGACTATAGACGTAAAAATCTAGGTATCTCTGTGACTATAGACGTAAAAATCTAGGTATCTCTAGCTGTGACTATAGACGTAAAAATCTGGGTATCTCTGTGACTATAGTTAAAATCTAGTATCTCTGTGATATAGACTAAAAATCTAGGTATCTCTAGCTGTGACTAATAGACTAAAAATTAGTACTCTAGCTGTGACATGACGTAAAATCTGGGATCCTAACTGTGACTATAGACGAAAATAGGTATATCAGCTGGACTATAGGCGAAAATCGGGTATCTTAACTGTGACTAGACATAAAAATTGAGTATCTCTAGCTGTGGCTCAACATAAAAATCCGGGTATCTCTAGCTTTGACTATAGACATAAAAATCTGGGTATCTCTGTGACTAGACATAAAAATCTGAGTATCCCTGGCTGTGACTATAGACATAAAAATATGGGTATCTCTAGCCGTGACTATAGACATAAAAATCTGGGTATCTCTAGCTCTGACTAGACAAAAATCTGAGTATCTCTTGCTTTGACTATAGACATAAAAATCTGGGTATGTCTAGCAGTGAGTATAGACATGAAAATCTGGGTATCTCTAGCTCTGACTATAGACGTTTACATGCCAGTATCTCTCAGATACAGACAAGTATATCACATGTGTTTTATACGTGATCTTGTCTTCATTATGTACCTCCTGATGTGGTATAAACCTTGGTAATAAATACCGACAAGTTGGTTTAGAAAGACACGTAAGCAAACACTATAACATATTTATTAGAAAACGTTTCGGTCCTGGAACCTTGATCACTTCTGAAGTGATCAAGGTCCCAGGACCGAAACGTTTTCTAATAAATATGTTATAGTGTTTGCTTACGTGTCTTTCTAAACCACCTCCTGATGTAATCATACGGGGTACCTGCTTATCTAATGAGGTACTCAGGAGGTAAAGTAGACGGTGCTTTACCTGTAGTAAACTCCCAGACGTAGGTCCAAACGACGTAGAGGAGGCCTCGCACCAGGAGGGGAAGGGTAGAGTGGTAGATACGGTAAAATTTCTCGATTACCAAACTACCGATGCCGTAGATGAAGAGCGACCATACGCTAGTGCAGCCTGGTGACACGAGGGTGATGTTAGTATTGCATGAGGCATAGTGCAAGTAGTAGTGGTGATAGTAGTAGTAGTGGTGGTAGTAGTACTAGTAGTAGTGGTAGTAGTAGTACTAGTAGTAGTGGTAGTAATAGTAGTAGTAGTAGTAGTAGTAGTACCAGTAGTAGTAGTAATAGTAGTAGTAGTACCAATAGTAGTAGTAATAGTAGTAGTGGTAGTAGTAGTACCAGTAGTAGTAGTAGCAGTGGTGGTGATAGTAGTAGCAGTGGTGGTGATAGTAGTAGTAGTGGTAGTAGTAGTACTAGTAGTAGTGTTAGTAGTAGTACTAGTAGTAGTGGTAGTAATAGTAGTAGTAGTAGTAGTAGTACCAGTAGTAGTAGTAATAGTAGTAGTAGTAGTAGTACCAGTAGTAGTAGTAATAGTAGTAGTGGTAGTAGTAGTATCAGTAGTGTAGTAGTAGTGGTAGTAGTAGTAGTAGTAGTGGTAATAGTAGTACTAGTAGTAGTGGTAGTAGTACCAGTAGTACTAGTAGTGGTGGTAGTAGTAGTAGTGGTAGTGGTGGTGGTGGTGGTGGTGGTAGTAGTAGTTGTGGTAGCAGTAGTAGATGTACAAGGAGGAGGAAGAGGAGAGAAAAAATGACAAAACAAAAGACTATTCATTAAAAGCCTTAACAAAAAATCCTTGAAAAACGCATATGGGCTCAGTCCTCGAGTCTGCAGCCCCAGAGTGAAGCCCTCACATAACGAGTCTGCAGCCCCAGAGTGAAGCCCTCACATAACGAGTCTGCAGCCCCAGAGTGAAGCCCTCACATAACGAGGCTGCAGCCCCAGAGTGAAGCCCTCACATAACGAGTCTGCAGCTCCAGAGTGAAGCCCTCACATTAACGAGTCTGCAGCCCCAGAGTGAAGCCCTCACATAACGGGTCTGCAGCCCCAGAGTGAAGCCCTCACATAACGAGTCTGCAGTCCCAGAGTGAAGCCCTCTACGTTGGCCCATCCCCAACGAGTCTGCAGCCCCAGAGTGAAGCCCTCACATAACGAGTCTGCAGCCCCAGAGTGAAGCCCTCACATAACGAGTCTGCAGCCCAGAGTGAAGCCCTCACATAACGAGTCTGCAGCCCAGAGTGAAGCCCTCACATAACGAGTCTGCAGCCCCAGAGTGAAGCCCTCACATAACGAGTCTGCAGCCCCAGAGTGAAGCCCTCACATAACGAGTCTGCAGCCCCAGAGTGAAGCCCTCACATAAACTGAGCTGAATCACAACGAGTCACCCAGAGTGAAGCCCTCACATAACGAGTCTGCAGCCCCAGAGTGAAGCCCTCACATAACGAGTCTGCAGCCCCAGAGTGAAGCCCTCACATAACGAGTCTGCAGCCCCAGAGTGAAGCCCTCACATAACGAGTCTGCAGCCCCAGAGTGAAGCCCTCACATAACGAGTCTGCAGCCCCAGAGTGAAGCCCTCACATAACGAGTCTGCAGCCCCAGAGTGAAGCCCTCACATAACGAGTCTGCAGCCCAGAGTGAAGCCCTCACATAACGAGTCTGCAGCCCCAGAGTGAAGCCCTCACATAACGAGTCTGCAGCCCCAGAGTGAAGCCCTCACATAACGAGTCTGCAGCCCCAGAGTGAAGCCCTCACATAACGAGTCTGCAGCCCCAGAGTGAAGCCCTCACATAACGAGTCTGCAGCCCCAGAGTGAAGCCCTCACATAACGAGTCTGCAGCCCCAGAGTGAAGCCCTCACATAACGAGTCTGCAGCCCCAGAGTGAAGCCCTCACATAACGAGTCTGCAGCCCCAGAGTGAAGCCCTCACATAACGAGTCTGCAGCCCCAGAGTGAAGCCCTCACATAACGAGTCTGCAGCCCCAGAGTGAAGCCCTCACATAACGAGTCTGCAGCCCCAGAGTGAAGCCCTCACATAACGAGTCTGCAGCCCCAGAGTGAAGCCCTCACATAACGAGGTCTGCAGCCCCAGAGTGAAGCCCTCACATAACGAGTCTGCAGCCCAGAGTGAAGCCCTCACATAACGAGTCTGCAGCCCCAGAGTGAAGCCCTCACATAACGAGTCTGCAGCCCCAGAGTGAAGCCCTCACATAACGAGTCTGCAGCCCCAGAGTGAAGCCCTCACATAACGAGTCTGCAGCCCCAGAGTGAAGCCCTCACATAACGAGTCTGCAGCCCAGAGTGAAGCCCTCACATAACGAGTCTGCAGCCCCAGAGTGAAGCCCTCACATAACGAGTCTGCAGCCCCAGAGTGAAGCCCTCACATAACGAGTCTGCAGCCCCAGAGTGAAGCCCTCACATAACGAGTCTGCAGCCCCAGAGTGAAGCCCTCACATAACGAGTCTGCAGCCCCAGAGTGAAGCCCTCACATAACGAGTCTGCAGCCCCAGAGTGAAGCCCTCACATAACGAGTCTGCAGCCCCAGAGTGAAGCCCTCACATAACGAGTCTGCAGCCCCAGAGTGAAGCCCTCACATAACGAGTCTGCAGCCCCAGAGTGAAGCCCTCACATAACGAGTCTGCAGCCCCAGAGTGAAGCCCTCACATAACGAGTCTGCAGCCCCAGAGTGAAGCCCTCACATAACGAGTCTGCAGCCCAGAGTGAAGCCCTCACATAACGAGTCTGCAGCCCAGAGTGAAGCCCTCACATAACGAGTCTGCAGCCCCAGAGTGAAGCCCTCACATAACGAGTCTGCAGCCCCAGAGTGAAGCCCTCACATAACGAGTCTGCAGCCCCAGAGTGAAGCCCTCACATAACGAGTCTGCAGCCCCAGAGTGAAGCCCTCACATAACGAGTCTGCAGCCCCAGAGTGAAGCCCTCACATAACGAGTCTGCAGCCCCAGAGTGAAGCCCTCACATAACGAGTCTGCAGCCCCAGAGTGAAGCCCTCACATAACGAGTCTGCAGCCCCAGAGTGAAGCCCTCACATAACGAGTCTGCAGCCCCAGAGTGAAGCCCTCACATAACGAGTCTGCAGCCCCAGAGTGAAGCCCTCACATAACGAGTCTGCAGCCCCAGAGTGAAGCCCTCAACATAACGAGTCTGCAGCCCCAGAGTGAAGCCCTCACATAACGAGTCTGCAGCCCCAGAGTGAAGCCCTCACATAACGAGTCTGCAGCCCCAGAGTGAAGCCCTCACATAACGAGTCTGCAGCCCCAGAGTGAAGCCCTCACATAACGAGTCTGCAGCCCCTGAGTGAAGCCCTCACATAACGAGTCTGCAGCCCCAGAGTGAAGCCCTCACATAACGAGTCTGCAGCCCAGAGTGAAGCCCTCACATAACGAGTCTGCAGCCCCAGAGTGAAGCCCTCACATAACGAGTCTGCAGCCCCAGAGTGAAGCCCTCACATAACGAGTCTGCAGCCCCAGAGTGAAGCCCTCACATAACGAGTCTGCAGCCCCAGAGTGAAGCCCTCACATAACGAGTCTGCAGCCCCAGAGTGAAGCCCTCACATAACGAGTCTGCAGCCCCAGAGTGAAGCCCTCACATAACGAGTCTGCAGCCCCAGAGTGAAGCCCTCACATAACGAGTCTGCAGCCCCAGAGTGAAGCCCTCACATAACGAGTCTGCAGCCCCAGAGTGAAGCCCTCACATAACGAGTCTGCAGCCCCAGAGTGAAGCCCTCACATAACGAGTCTGCAGCCCCAGAGTGAAGCCCTCACATAACGAGTCTGCAGCCCCAGAGTGAAGCCCTCACATAACGAGTCTGCAGCCCCAGAGTGAAGCCCTCACATAACGAGTCTGCAGCCCCAGAGTGAAGCCCTCACATAACGAGTCTGCCCCCGAGTGAAGCCCCACTAACGACTGCAGCCCAAGTGAAGCCCTCACATAACGAGTCTGCAGCCCCGAGTGAGCCTCAATAACGAGTCTGCAGCCCAGAGTGAAGCCCTCACATAACGAGTCTGCAGCCCCAGAGTGAAGCCCTCACATAACGAGTCTGCAGCCCCAGAGTGAAGCCCTCACATAACGAGTCTGCAGCCCCAGAGTGAAGCCCTCACATAACGAGTCTGCAGCCCCAGAGTGAAGCCCTCACATAACGAGTCTGCAGCCCCAGAGTGAAGCCCTCACATAACGAGTCTGCAGCCCCAGAGTGAAGCCCTCACATAACGAGTCTGCAGCCCCAGAGTGAAGCCCTCACATAACGAGTCTGCAGCCCCAGAGTGAAGCCCTCACATAACGAGTCTGCAGCCCCAGAGTGAAGCCCTCACATAACGAGTCTGCAGCCCCAGAGTGAAGCCCTCACATAACGAGTCTGCAGCCCCAGAGTGAAGCCCTCACATAACGAGTCTGCAGCCCCAGAGTGAAGCCCTCACATAACGAGTCTGCAGCCCCAGAGTGAAGCCCTCACATAACGAGTCTGCAGCCCCAGAGTGAAGCCCTCACATAACGAGTCTGCAGCCCCAGAGTGAAGCCCTCACATAACGAGTCTGCAGCCCCAGAGTGAAGCCCTCACATAACGAGTCTGCAGCCCCAGAGTGAAGCCCTCACATAACGAGTCTGCAGCCCCAGAGTGAAGCCCTCACATAACGAGTCTGCAGCCCAGAGTGAAGCCCTCACATAACGAGTCTGCAGCCCCAGAGTGAAGCCCTCACATAACGAGTCTGCAGCCCCAGAGTGAAGCCCTCACATAACGAGTCTGCAGCCCCAGAGTGAAGCCCTCACATAACGAGTCTGCAGCCCCAGAGTGAAGCCCTCACATAACGAGTCTGCAGCCCCAGAGTGAAGCCCTCACATAACGAGTCTGCAGCCCCAGAGTGAAGCCCTCACATAACGAGTCTGCAGCCCCAGAGTGAAGCCCTCACATAACGAGTCTGCAGCCCCAGAGTGAAGCCCTCACATAACGAGTCTGCAGCCCCAGAGTGAAGCCCTCACATAACGAGTCTGCAGCCCCAGAGTGAAGCCCTCACATAACGAGTCTGCAGCCCCAGAGTGAAGCCCTCACATAACGAGTCTGCAGCCCAGAGTGAAGCCCTCACATAACGAGTTGCAGCCCAGAGTGAA